AGGGACAATCCTACCTGAGCCCGCCACGCGTGCCTTCGGAGCCGTCGTAGGTTGACGCGGCGCCGCGCGTTTAAATAGATAAATAAGGTATTTTCTGATTTAAATAAATAGCCCTAGCTTCAAAAATCTATATCTTTGTGTAGAAAAATCACAAAAATAAAATAAAAATACCCTCTTGCTCAGTGAATAGAGGAAAACAATGTGGAAATAATTTGGAGTCCATTTGATGCATATTGAGTTTTTAAGTAATTAAACACTGATTTGAATGTTTTGATTCTCCATGCATGTAAGAATATCACCAGTTTTGATTCTCCATTTTGATTCTCCATGCATGTAAGAATATCACCATGGCTTGAAATTTTAGCATGTTGTTTCCCCTATCATAGAGAACATTTTTTGATTTTTCCAAAATCTGAGGAGGTCTCTAGACAGAGATCCATATTTTTCAAGTTTATGTCTATTATTTACATAAATTAATCATGATAATTAGCATGTTGCTTAGAAAATTCTAAGAAAATTTTGAAAGTTTCACCATGACCAGAGGATCTTTTGTAAATAATTTCATGAGTTAAGTCATTAAGAATATACTTAATCTTCACCAACCCTAAAACACAAAGAAAGTTTTGGGTAACATAAACATTTAAATGACTTAATTTTTGGCCTCCACTAAAATTTAAACTTCAAAGAACTCATCATAAAAATTTCAAAACATTTGGAATTCATTTCATATCTCAAATTGATTTTTCAAGTTAATTAATATTTTTGGTACTAAAATGATTTTTAATAATTTAAATATAACTTGAAAAATTATAAAACTTAGTTTTTTGGGGTTTTTGTAGTTCTTTGTGATCAAAGAAATTTTATAAAAATAAATTTAAAATAAAAATAAAAACTTTATTTTTAGCCAATTTTAAATATTTAAAATAATTAAAAAATAATAAAATTCATAAAAATATTCTAAATTGCATCCTAAGCACTTATGAACAATTGGGATATTTTTTCCAATTTTCTAAATAAATATATTAAATTTTGAAGCTCAAAAACAATTTTTAAAGGCTAAAAATGGATTTTCACTAAAATAATTCCAATAATTCAAAGAAAAATCAAAAAAATGTTAAATTTATTTCTATGTGTCCCTTGGCATTATAAAGATTTAATAAAAATCTCCTAATCCTCACTGCAGTGATGAATGTGTTCCCTCTAATACAACTTGCAAATGCCACCCAAAAAGATCTCCTAAGATGCTTGGCATTATATGTTTCCCTTTATAAGATGCTTGAAATGCCACCCAAAAAGATTTCCTAATATGGATGTATTATTATGGATGTATTTCTTAATATGTATTATTAAGATGCTTGAAATGCCACCCAAAATAATAGTGCATGTTTCGCAAACTCCGTGAGTGGCCATCTCGTCTGGTATTCCCTGCATTTGACAAGCTCCTTCCCGTGAGTGGCCATCACGATTACAGGTAGATTTTATAAGCTTGTTTTTTTGGATACACCTAAAATATTGAAGAAGTTGAGCAAAATTTGATTGCAATGGATAACTTTGATCTTTGAGACTTTGTTTGAAATTTACCTTTGATCATTGAAACTTGGTTCAAAGTCTTTTGCCTTATAAAATTGCTATAGCAGATGGAATGTAGTGGGATGGAAACGATGAGAGAAACATTTATGTTTCCAATTCTTTTACTGTGAGGCCTGAAATATTTTAGGGAAACTTCTGGCATTATGCGACATGTGTATGATATTTATGGGAAAGAAATAGATATCCTATCAAAACAATATATTTGTGGTTCTGAGTTTCATAAACAAAATGTTTCAGAATACAAAGATTTAGCAGATTTTTATGTCATTCGAGAAAAAAAAGGAAGCTTTAAAGATTTCTCAGTTACGGATTACATTGTTACCCAGCTATGCATGCTAGAACATTGATGCCATATTGAGCACAAAACTCTTTTTACATGCTTTCAATTATCATCTACATGTTGGAATTTCCTAACTTGCAGCACATTCCACTTTGTGAATGTGTGCACCTTGCTGAAGAAAATTATATAGCATTTTAATGCATTGGGCAAATTCACATAAAGTGTTCCTGGTAATGATAATTATTGCTTCACCTTGCTGCACAAGTTAAAATTTTTTCAAACTTTTTGAATATGCTCTTCTTTATTTTGTTTATCATAATCGAGTGAAAAGGAAGACAGAGATTTCTCACCTTGTCTTGGTTATTTTAGCTGATTTACGTATCATCATTTTCTACTTTCTTATTGATTTTACTATTGTGTTTCATGGCTTTGTTTTGATATAGTAATAACATGGATAATAAACCTAAAGAGGTTGTTATACTTGCATTGTGGGAAAAAGAAACGTTGAACGGGAAAATAGGCCTACGACATATTTCAATAAAGAATGGTGGCAAAATATTATCAGAAATTTTAAGGAATATTTAGGCAGAGAATATGAAAGGTTGCAAATGAAGAACAAGTGAGACCGACTGTAGAAGGACTAGAAATTTTGGAAAGAATTGAAATGAGGATCTACGAATTTGGGTTGGGATCCAATGAAGTGAACAGTTGATGCACCTGATGAATGGTGGGTTGAAAGACTTGCGGTAAACATTTTTTGTAAACTTTGTTATTTTATAACTTTATAGTTTATTCTTAATTGGGTGTTTATCAATTTTTATGTAGGTGGCACCCGCTGCAAAGAATTTTAAGTTTTCTGAAATTGAGCCTGAATTGGAGGAGAAACTCGACCGCATGTTTGGAGGAGAAACGGCGAACTATGCATGTAGCCCAAGAGATACAGGGTTCGCTAGCAATGTCGTGAATTTGAGAACCTAACCTCTGGAGGTTCAGTTGATTTCATTGACGTCCCCAGCCCAGATCAGAACGAATATGAAACCATTTTCCGTTCCAAATGTCCGAAGGTTGTTGATAAAAGAAAATTTGGTGTTTCTTCCTTCAGAAACGAGCTATCCAAGGTGATTTCTTGTTTCAAGGCAGAATGTCAGACTTCTTTTTCAAGCACTATCGAGGAGACACTTGAAATTCTAAGCGCTACTACCGAAATTTATGCGGGTGAAGATTTATATCTGTTCACAACAAAATTGATAGAGAACCCGTTCTGTAGAGATATCTTTGTGAAGATGTCTGTCACCAGTGACATATATTTGCTGATTTATGATCGCTTGAATATTTGAGATGTTTTATATTTTTCATCATTAGAATATTTCTTTTGCATTATCTTTTTTTCCGTTCTAGAGTTATACTTGTGAACTTTGTTGTATCTTCTTAGTTATATGCAAACGTTTCTTTTTTTATGTCTCAAACTCTCATGTAACTGATAAGTGCTTAGGTGTTACAATTAGGGATACCGATAATCATGGATACAAATAGAAGAAGACAGATAGCAGCGCAAATGGTTTCACGCAGAATAATGCGGAGAAGGATATTTATGACGACAATATGCTTGATGTACGAGTACTACAACCCGTACATTGATCGGTCGTCATGCATGTCATCTTCATATATTGGCAATAAATGGGTTTGAGAGTTGCTTGCGGGGTGCCCAAAAAGATTCAGTAATATGTTTTGAATGAGCTAGGCAGTATTTATCGATCTTCTAGAATTACTCGTAGGAGCTCACGGACTTCATGGATCTTCAAGGACTACTCCATGCAAGGTGCTCGCAATAACACTGTTCATATTTTACCAAATGAGTCCATGTGATGAGCGATGAAGCGATTTCAACACTCCTATAAATTAATAAGCAGGTACTTCTCGATCGGATTGAGCACACTTGTTATTTTTTCCTCTCATCTCATCAGACCCTCAGATTATGAGTTCGAGCAAACACATACTGAGATATAACAGGATGCGTGATCTATGCCCTCCTTCAAGGTATTATCTCGGATGCAATATAGTTATTTTTTTTAGAGTCTGCAATGATATGTCAAACCTAACGTTAACTCAATCAGAATTGCATCGGCACGATTTATGGAACACATATTGACACACGTATCTTAATTAATGATAAGGTTGCATTAATTGAACACCAAAAATTTCATGGTCGTATGTGACTTCAACATGTGTTTCACTTTTGTTATGGCTGGTTGGGAGGGCAACACACATGACAGTCGAGTATTTAAATTTGCGATGCGGGATCCCAATACCAACTTTCCACTTCCACTTGCAGGTGCGCTCGAGATTGACTTCATTGAATGCCTAACTTGAATCTCCATACTAATTATTCAATTTATTAGACAAATATTACTTGGACAAATATTACTTGGTCGATGCATTACTTGGTCGATGCTAGTTATCCATTGGAATGAGGGTATCTAAAGTCATTTCCTGATACAAGATATCACATACCAGACTTCGCCGTGCAAGCAACGTTACACGAGGTAGAAAGGAAATGTTTAATAAACGACATTTATCGTTATGTGGTGTCATTGGACTTTTGATGTGTGGAAAAAAAATGATTGATACTTCCTGATATGCCTCCTTAAAAGTTCTCCAAGCATGTACAAATTGTGTTTGCTACAACGACTCTGCATAATTACATTAGAAGACATTAATCTTGTAGCGATATCGACTTCCATTTGGCGGAAGAGGATGAAAAACATGTGATTGCAGAAACCTTTGAATACCATCTAGGTCAGTCTTTGACAGAAGAGTTGAATGAGGCTTCCACCACCTATGCTGTAGACGGGGAATGCGCGAACGAGATGGCAGAGCTGAGGGAACGAATAACTGATGAGATAGTAGGCGTATTATTAGAGAATTTCAGAATTTATTCGCTGAATATTATTCAAACTTTTTATACTCTAATTTTTTTCAAGTTCAATTTTGTCTATTTCGTTGTTTTTTTTTTATTTAGATTGATGCCTAGGAACTTTTGGTCCCTGTATGCAAATTTTAATTTAGTGGAGTTTTGCAAGTTATTATTTATTCATACAACCAGTTTGATAGTTTGATAAAGTGTTGCATGCCTTAGTGTTGCATGCCTTGTTATTTTAATTAGCTTATTTCACCAAGCACTGTTTTTTATTTCTTGTTTTGAAGGGATCTATGGGCTAAATTCATGATAATTTGTATTGCTTGTGATGTTCTTCCCATTGATTATTGGTGTAGTATTGTTTTGCTTTTTTTTTTCCCTATCCAAGTTTAATAAGGTAAAGCTGCTTGTACTGATGGATGTAGAAGATGTAAGAATTCTCATTCCACTTATTGGAATTAAATGCTGGAGGTAGTTCTAAAAAATTTGGTAAACGTTTCTTACATTTGGTGTTATGGTTATTCCCGGTGACGCATTTTAGGATTGCTTAAATTTTTAAGCAACCACTGTTGCCATCACCAAGGAAATCTGCGTTTTTAAACAAATGCATAGATTTAGGTGCATCGGTTGATGTATAATTTTTAATAGTAAAGGATTACAAGTAAAGAGGAAAGAAGTTTTTATTTGATGTTGTTGAAGGAATTGAAAGCATATTTTTCAAATATGAATTGTTTATTCTCTTGTATTGGGCATTTACATACATAGCACAAAATTTTTATATATTTAAATATCTCACGCCTAAACTTTCATATATAGACACACATCACTCAAATTTTTAATATCACAGAAAAAGTAGCACTATTACAATTCTGACTTAGATGTGATTGTGCTTGAAAATCTTAAACCATACAAAAATCTAAAGAGTTCGTCCATATTTTCATACAAGGGTGTAAGCTCTGCAAAATGGATGTACAATGTTGATTTGATCTCCAATCTGGAGTACATCAGTTTGAACGGTTGTTTTATTGTAAATTCCATTGGAATGAAAAGGTTTATGTGTTTCAATCTTTGGAGGTGCTTAATAGTAAGGGATTACAAGTATTGGAGGGTTAGGTTGGTGGAGCAGGTGCGGCAGCATATGACTGTTTCTTTCCTTGCTTAACTGAACTCTTCCCCATTTCAAAATTATGTGTCGAGGGATGCTTTTCATTTCTACACTATTTTTCTGCATGCTCTCATGTTATCTTGTTGCATCATTGGGCTTTGGTAGGAGCAACACATGATTTTGATAAATTTCATGTTATTAGATGTTCCTCTCAGCTGCTAAAACTTTTGCAGCCTGAACTGGGGTTGTCACTTATGGGGATTTATGTAATGATTCATTCCCTTCAACTGCCACTTATTGTATATTTCAAAAAAATTGAGACATCTTCGATACGAGTTGCAAATTGTTTACTCATCAACCCAGCCCTTTATTCTTTTAATTTTGATATTTATATAGGAATTTGAGAATGGAAGCAGATTGAACATAGAGCTTGATATGTGGTCATATATTATTGAACATAGAGCTTGAGTTATGAATTTGAGATGTTTATTCATGCCCCAATTTATTTTACATGTCTATAAGTAAATGTGTTTTGCCTAGCATTCAGTTTAGTTACTGTAGGTGGTAAATAATTTTGATTCTGTGATAAATTCATGTAGAAAAACCTATGATCATATCAGCTCCAGAGTTCATTCTGAATCAATATGGATGGATCTCATTGAAGCTTTTGAAGGTATTATACTGTGTTATGCACTTCTTAATGACTACGGAATGGAAGGACTTTATGCTTCCATGGAGCCTGTTATGCGATCTTGAATTTAGCTTAGTTTAGATATTCAAAGAGTGCCCCTAAGTTTACACACACGCAATTATATATCAATGATTTTTCTGTGTTTTTCATGTATACACTGGTTTATACTTGGTAGCTTTTTAATTTCTTTTTATTCAAAGCTTTGATTTACATAATTTGCTCATGAAGTCCAGGGAGGTGATTTTAGAGTCTCCCAACTAAGGATTGCAAAGCTAGGGATGTGAGTTTTTGAAGTATCTCTTTTTCCTGGAGTTTGTTTAAAGACCTTTATTCTCCTTGAGTTTGATCCACAAGTTTCAAAAATTATTAATAAGGTAATCCTCTGTTTCCAGTTTGCCAATTTTAAAACTAGTTATTAAATCAATTGAATTTCTTTTAGTGTAGCCAATGTCTTTAAATTTGCACTTGGAAGTATGCTTTACACTGCTATGCAAAGCATCATGTGGTGACGATGATTGTTAAGAACAATTGACATTTTCACATGCTTGAGACATTTTCTCCTCTAATAATGGCCGTGATGTATCAAGGAATGATTGGTGCTCCTCTAGCAACCTGCTTAGCATTTTGTTATTTTTTAAGCTTTATTTTAGGGATCGATCAGAAAAATGCTTCTTTTTGTTATGTGGTGGATTGCAACGGTCTTTTTTCAATCCTGTCCTTTTGTGCTACTTTGGGTTTTTGCACCATATTATTCAGTTCAGGGTGTTACCAAATATGAATGTTTGTTGCTTATTTACTTTTGAAAGATGAGGTGATTTATGGCCAAATACCATCAGATCTTGCATAATTGATATTTCCTATGGTTAAATCTATTCATTACATGTGTTTTTAAGTATCATATTTCCTATGATATTTCCTATGGTTAAATCTATTCATTACATGTGTTTTTAAGTATCATATTTCCTATGATATTTCCTATGGTTAAATCTATTCATTACAGTGCTAGTCTTGTAAGTAGCAATGTTTAAGTGTTATGTATGCAGTTATCCTTAATTTATGCTGATGGGCAAGATGGTATGTATGTAAATATTCCTAAAATTAAGTAGTATGGTGGCATATACTTTGTAAAAATTAAAGTTAAGGTGTTAGATATGTGGATACATAAGAATTAAGTGGTATGTATGTAAATTTTCCTAAAATTTAACGATCTCCTAAGTGGAGGTCATGATTGTCTAGCTCAAAGAATTTCACAAGGCAACAAAAGTTATACATGCTTTGTGCTCTGAGGCTAAGGTGTGTCTCTCTCTGATTTCATTTCATGATGGAGAGAATCTATTTTTGCATATCATTTTTTTAGTTATCAATAACACTTGATATTGTATCAAAATTCAGGATTTGACAATTTTTAAATTGAGGATTATAATATTGCCTTATTGAGGCATGCAAGTTCAATTTTGGCTTGATACAGTTTTGAATTTGCCTTACAAATTGAGCATTGGTTGGATGCAAATTCTCTGAGATGCAATTATATATTTCCAACGTATGGGGAAATTGACTTGAGAGGTATGTATGTAAATCTTCCTTCTTCTACAGGTGACTGGACTACAAAATGGGGAAGATGCGTAGATATTCCATGCTCCAATCTAGCATTTTCATCAAAATCTTGTGCAGGTTCGTTAGCTCTTTTCGTTGATATGAAGAATTATGTTGAAGGAATTAGAAAGCAGTTCTTTGCATAAAGCTGCGAAGCTCCGCTCTTTCTGGGGGCGATTTACCTGCGGCGTCGTCAAAGTTGTTCTAGAAGCATGCGATGGGTTCTTATTGATATACAGGACATTTGATGGGGCATAGCAAAATTCAATCCTCAAATCTACTAGAAATTGAATTTTGGACCTTGTGATGATTGTAAAAATGTCTAGAGACTTTGGGGAGAGTAGAGAGTGATAAAGACACTAAAAATTATTTATGTTTTATGTTTATTTTCTGGTATTTCATGGATGGTTGAAATTTTTTTGATTTTGTAGCGGGCGTTGCATACCTGAGAATTTGAACATGGATCGGCTCCAGAACTTAAAGAAAAACTATCGGTTTCACTTATCCTTAACCTGCAAACAGTTCCAGTTCTTTATTTGATGTGTTCTTATGTCTTACCACAACCTGATATTTGTTTTTTGGAAGATTTACATACATATGTCGGAATTCTATGTATTTACATATCTAACACATATACTTCAATTTTTATATGTATACAACTCTACTTATGCATAGAAAGGTAAATTTCACATTTTAGAAGCAAAATATCATGGTTTAAATGGAAGTAGTAGTTGCAGGTTTGTAGGATGGTCAGATTTAATAGTGAAGTATTATATCTTTTGAATTAATAAATTTTATGGAAGTATATTCGTTGTTTGGAACTTGCATGTCATACTTAACATCGATTATATATAAAACACTTGCACTTTAACATTGATTGTATGTAAAATATCTCTTATCAGATGGCTGGAACAAAAATATATATATATTCTAAAATTACATTAAGTGCAATTTTGTAGATAGAATTTTATTAATAATTAATGATTAATTTATTAATTTCAAATTAATAATAATTAAATGAATTTATATATTGTTATTTAATGATCAATTAATTAATTTATAAATATATGTTTATGTTATTAACTATTTAATAAAAATATAAGTTTTCTTAATTATTAAAATTACTTAATTATTAATTAATATTAATTCATTGCTTAAGAAATAATTTATTTAATATAAAAATCATTTTATATTATGTTTTAAACAGCTTTACTGAATAGGGGCAGATTGTCATTTTTACAGAAACAGCTATTATATAGTTTTTCTCACACAGCTGCAACAAACAGACAACCAGCTTCCCCGCAACAGCTTCTTGGGGCAGCGTAGCTGCAGCTGAAAAGCTACGAAGTTGCAACTGCTGAAAATAGATCCTAAGTCTCATTATTATTAAATGATAACAAAAGTAGATGTGATAAATATTTCATCTGAGAAAATGCTATCCAACTAAATAAACCCCAAACATTTAAAATAAGATAGCATAACTATAATAACAATACATCCATAATAGTGCATTTGACAAGCATGTTATAAAGGGAAATAAAATTTTCCAGATTTAAAACATTTTATAATTAATAAACACCCCAGAACTTAAAATAATTCTTAAAATTGAAATAAAATTCAAAAAATCATGAAATTTGGTCAAAAGGTTTCTCTAGTCTAATCTTATCTTTAATAAAAATTTCAAAGAATTAGAATTTACCTTGGTCAAGTTAGGAATTTTCTTTGAAAAAATCCTATTTTTGCATTAAAAATAATTATATAGATAAATTAAAATTTGAAAAATCACACTTTCTCCTCTGATATCTCAATTGACCCATGATTGAGGTAGGATAAAAGTTCCAATGTCATTTAGATTAAATTTGATGAATTATGAAGTGATAGAGCCTTAGGGGCAATTGTATAATTTTGAAAATTTTGCCTTAATTAATATTTAGGCCTAATTTCAGAAAGGGGAATGGGAAATCTTTGATTCTAATTAACATATTTGGATGTTTGAAACACAAGGGGTTATGGGTTTATTGGTAGAAACCAACCCCACTTGTCCTATTTAAAAATGATAAATTTGAAATTTCCCTAAAATTACATAAGTTTGGGAGTCCAATCAATTAAATGATCCTGGACTTAGGGGTATGATTTTGGGTGTCAATAACTCACTAATTTAATACCCCTATTTGATGAACCAAAAAAACATGAATAATCTCCATCACTTATAAGTCAATTTCATTTGCAATGACTAAGACACTCACCAAAATCTTAAGGGCTTAGTAGTGACTTAAGATAAATCAAGTTTCATTTAAATAAGAATTAGAAAAGTAAACATCATTAAAACATCTTTTAAACACTACAAGCCCAAGTCAAAATTTGGCTAAGTCTCTTAAACTTGCATCTTTAAGGGTCTTCACACACATAATTCTTAAATTGAATTACGAGTGATAATTACCCTATTCTTAGGGATAATTGAGACATCAATGCTCACTGAGCACTAAGGGTATTTACAGGATGAATTATTAAGCAACATAATAAATATATAAAAAAACATGAATCATCATCATTGCTTATAAGTCAATTTCATTTGCAATGACTAAGACACTCACCAAAAATCTTAAGGGCTTAGTAGTCATTTAGGAAAAATCAAATTTCATTTAAATAAGGATTAGAAAAGTAAATATAATTGAAAATTAAAACATCTTTCAAAACACTACAAGCCCAAGTCAAAATTTGGCTAAATCTCTTAAACTTGCCTTTTTAAGGGTCTTCAGTACCTTTTCTAATTTTCTAAGACTAGTCAATAGGAAAGTCCTATGGCTAGACCTAGGCTACTAAAGAAGTTTTCTAGACCTCAACCAAAAGGAAGGTCAACATTAAGAAATATATTAAGTTTAAAAGAACTCGGGATTTTCCACCAGACAGCGAGAGAGTAGCACGGACCTGCTTCTTTCTCTAGATCTGTTGGATACCTCGGAGATTTACTAAACTTAATATGTTTTTCTTGACAAAATCATCCTTAATTAAACTCCTAAGGACCC